TCAAAATATGTCACATGATATAATGACATTTTTTTATAATGCATTAAGTATACAATTAAGTGCAGGATGATATTTTTACAAAACATATTTTACGATCAAATAATAATGTTATTTCTAGCATGAAAGTTTTTTTCTTGTGGGGGTTTGCGCCCACCCTCCTTCACAACTCATGATTCGCTACTGTATTTTTGCTCGAACAACAAACTAATATACCAATATGATGTGGCGAGCCAATGCTTCCTTATTCATAAAAACACAAAGTATTACTCTGTAAGTACTATCTGAAGAATATTAAAAGTACCAACACGTTTCACACCTACGGGCGAGTCGCGTAGTTTGCATTTAAAAGCACGTCGCGATATTCTTAATCGAAATTTCAGTCGTCCACTCCCGTGTCCGGTACTTTAACCACTTTCGATGGTACCGTAACCCGTACACGCACCCGAGGGATACGCACTGCACTCTTCGAAACAATTCAAACAATACTCGGTAAAGACGTACCGTTGGAGCATAAAAATGAGTTCAGTGACACCTGACAATTAAAAACATTAAACGCGCTAAGAAGGGCCTCTTGGCTTGCGCGCTTGTGTAACAGGTAGAACACACACAGGTGCCTTATACCAATTAATTTACAGTGTATGTATTATACGTGTTGGCACTGCACCGGCAAGACTACTAATGTTACCGACATTTGGTACCGTTTTTAGCTTCAAATTGAACTCCCCAGGTCAGCGTGTGGGCTTCTTTTTTTTTGCCGCGTTTATGTCCAACTGTCGTCGGTTAATGATTAGTTCGGTTTTGCAATGGGGCAGTGTGGGAAATGGAAGTTTTGCGTTTCGACAACATGTCTAATGAGGCGTAATTATTAATAGAAGTCGATTTTTCCACGCATAGGTCTCGTTATTGCACCTACGGCACACTAACAAGTTTGCAGGAAATTCACATTTACGGTAATGGTAATTATTCGTTCGATTAAAATAAATCTATAAATAGCGACCTCTTTTCAAACAGCGGGCTTCCAAAATGTGAAATTTGCTTAAGAGTACTTAAATATGCCGTATGATCGAATAAAAACGGCGTCAGCGATGTGATGTAAGAAATGACGATCGATGACATTTCCCATATAATTTTAAATATAAAATGACAGCGATCATACGGTAGTTTTTCTTGCGCAAATATTTCTTGTTTCATTGTTGGCAACTTCATGACTCAAACGAAAATTAATAGTGAATATAAATAATGTTTTCTAAAGTAGACGACGCTGCATTATGTTCCACATTAAGAATATTTCGATTTTTTCAATAATATAACAGTAACGAACGAAAACTAGGAATATTTTATTATTTAACCCCCTTTTTTAAACCTTATTCAATATATATTAACTCATTATAGGCTTAGTGCATTTCAGTTGATTTCAACAAATTCCGACCGCAGCGCACTCTACGGTAGAAATCAGAAATTACCAATATACAGGGTGCTACAAATTTGAGGTACGAGCATTGGTATCTCGGAAACCGTAATAGATACGAACATGGTTAAATTGGGGCAAAGTTGCGCTTTAGAATGTTCACCAAGATGCCATCAAAAAAGTTTTGGAAATTTGAAGGATTGCTGAGTTTTTTGGAAAAAAACGGATTTTTTGAAAATCATTTTTATTTTTTCTTGTCGTTATTTTTTAGAAAATCAAAAAACTAATTACACATTCTCATAGCCACTTTATTAGGGCTATCTAATGGTATTTTTAGATTTTCAAATTAGCTTATAATTTGTGAGATACAGAGGCCAAATTATTTTTTTTAAATAAGGACCTGCGTTTTTTATTTTAGATTTTGAAAGACCTCGGTCTCCTGAGTACAGTGATATGCCACACTTGATACTTTTTTTGTTTTGGGTAAAACACTAAAAAAATATATTTAATTGTTCTTTAAAATAATTTCAAATCCGACTCTGGTTTTTTAATTTATTTAATCTGATTATATTCAGCACAACATTATTGATCAGCGCTAATAACACTAAATAAAGAAAATCAATAAAAATTATTTTGGACATTTGAAATCAATACCTTTCAACATTAAGAGTGCAAAAACAATTAACGAGTAATAAAAAACAATTAAAGAGTACAAAATGCATTCGGAAGTATAAGAAGATCTGTTCAAAGAGCTATAAAAAAGATTGAACAAAAATAAATTTGTGCATTATGGAGTAATATGGTGGTAACCCTTTCGAACATGCAGAGCATTAGAAACTAGTTTGTAGAGAAGTTGATTTATTTATAATAACTACGATTAATATTACGCATATTATTAGATCGTACACTGGGATTTCAAATTCACAACAAAAAAAGTTAAAAATAATAGATAGCTTTAAATTGCTGACCTGGATATTAATTATTTGAATCTTTCAAGACGTGTGTAATTTTCCTTATTCGATGTTAATTAGCGCTGATCAATATTGTTGTGCTGCATATAATCAGATTAAATAAATTAAAAAACCAGAGCCCGAGTTGCAATTATTTTAAATAACAATTAAATAGTTTTTTATTGTTAAGGTATCCGAAACAAAAAAAAAGTATCAAGTGTGGCATATCATTGTACTCAGGAGACCGAAGTCTTTCAAAACTTCAAATAAAAAATGCAGGTCCTTGTTTAGAAAAATTAGGTTGGCCTCTGTATCTCATAAATTATAAGCTAATTTGAAAATCTAAAAATACCATCAGATAGCCCTAATAAAGTGGCTATGAGAATGTGCAATTAGTTTTTTGATTTTCTAAAAAGTAACGACAGGAAAAAATAAAATTGATTTTCAAAAAAATCCGTTTTTTCCAAAAAACTCAGCAATCCTTGAAATTTTTAAAACTTTTTTGATGGCACCTTGGTGAACATGCCAAGGAGGCAACTCTGCCCCAATTTAACCATCTTCGTATCTATTACGGTTTCCGAGATACCAATGCTCGTACCTCGAATTTGTAGCACCCTGTATAGTTCGGGGTTTTGTTTAAATATTTAAGTACTTTAGTATTTTAGTTTTTTGCTAGTGCAGTTATTGAGACTATAAAACACTCAGGTACGAGGTTTGTGTGATGTAACGCTGTTTCGGGTAGTAAAAGTAAAAAATAAGTGAAAAAGAATTCGAACTAGGCGTCTTGTTGTGTTGTGACAATTTCAAATGTTAATAAAATTGCCTGAAAAATATTAACGCGTAAAGGAGAACGTAATTAAGGCGTTGTTGGGTGCAATAACATTCAATAACTCAATATTCCAGAATATTCAACACTCCGCGCGGACCGTCCGCGAGTTCCATGAGTTTAAAGTTTAAATGAACAATTTCACATGAGTCGCGTATGCTCCGTCCGGATGAGCTATCTTGAAAAAACCTAACCGCTCCTTCTGAAAGCGCTGTTAGGTATACTATGAGAGGATAAAATATAATTTGCAATATTAATGGTATACCTTTTTAATCAACTAGTGATTAAATGTTTTATGAACATTTTCTAAAATTATCATTATGTACCTTTAAAAAAGAATATAGCAAAACCGGTGATAAAACTCTGCTCGCTACTCGCTACCGTAGTTGAACCCATTTACTTTTTTTTAACTGAAATAATAAATTATAATGCAAGTTAGACCTTCTGAAGATATCAAAATTAACCTTTTTATTTTTTTGTTTAGAATTTCCATAAATTATACTTTTTAACACTTTTAGAATAATTATATACTAATTTTTTCGTTTACTCGTCATATAAACCCGTTTATTTGTATGTATTCGTTATTTACGATATTCTCCGGCGGTGGCAGCACCGGCGGAGAATGCACCAAGCCTATAGTTTTTAGTAAATATATCTAGGCGGCATTTACGAAAAATAAATAAATTGATCAAATTTCAAAATTTTGCTAATTCACTCTTTTTTTATCAAATTAAAATTTGATAAAAAATCAAACTCCGTTTCTGTTTTTATTCATACCAATTTATGGTATGATGGTATATATGTATTAAAAAAAATATCTTTGATTCCTTTGATAGATGATGTTACGCCAGATTGTCGAACATTACGTAAGAAAAACTAAAAAAGTGGTCTCAATTTTCAAAACACGTAAAAAGTTACATAAAAACTTGTTTAGATTGATAGAGGTCTAATTTTCAAAAAAATACCAAATAACAACAAAAAAATTAAACTAACATAAAATAAAACTTTTGTTTGCAAAAATACTACTAAAAAATTGTTTTGTATTGAAAGCAGATGCCACAGACAGTTTTTGGTATCGTATCATTTTAGTAAATTGAAATTTCATTGATGTATATCGATAGTAATTTAACACAAGATTTTATAAAAAATACCAAAAAAAACACATAAAAATGAGTATTTTTATGTTATTTTTCATACCAACCAACGTTTTTAGTAACTTTTATACATATTTTGGAAATTTAAACCACTTATTGTGAGCAAATTTAAGTTCCTCAAGCATACTGTATATGAAGTATCAAACAAAAGTATGTAAATTCCGTTCGAAACTTGAAAATATCTTTTGTAGCTCTTTTGTTATTTTACAAGTTTTTATAAGTAACGACTTTTGATTCAAACAGTATTCTTCTATATATTTTACTGATTAAAAACAAATCAATGTAAATTTAGGTTTGAAACGTAAAATAGCTGAAAAATTAAATATTAAAATTGTTGCACTGCATTTTCAAAAAAGTATATTTTTTACAAAATGCTAAGAATTAATTAATGATCTATATTTTAATTGTAAAAAACGAAGTAAAATAGAGAACACTGAAACTAAAAAATGTAAATATAATGTTCTTGTAGAGTTATCGCTACTAAAACAAACTCCGAGGAATCCACAAATATTGCTTAACTAGACAATACCAATTTAATAATGATTTTGAAAATCAAAAATAGTAATTCTGTTTTAGTTGCCAAAACAATAAAATTCAATACATTAACTACAGAAATGTGTATTACTTACTTATTCAATTCATAACAAATATGTATTACTTACTTATTCGCACCTCTTGGTTTTGGTACAGGTACTATTTGATCTTCATCTTCATCACTGTCAAACGGATTGAGGCTTATCCTAGCGGGAACGATGATTTTTTTCTTCTGTCGTGGACTTGGGAGGGGTTTACGTGGCACCACTTCTACTTCCTCATCCTCGTCATCTTCAAATGGATTAACACTAATACGTTCCATGTAGATCTTAGCTAGTGCTTCTGGAGTTTCTTTCAGTTCCCTCTCTTCTAACGTAGGATTAATTTTCTTTTTAGGTCTTGGTGCCGGGGTGGGTATCGGAGAAATCTTTTCCTCTTCGTCGGATTCGCCAAATGGATTGAGGGATGTATGACCCATAGAAGCTTCAACAGTATTATCATCATCCTCGTCTCCAAAGGGATTTAAGTCCTCTGATTCTGGAGGTTTGGAAGACTCCGGCGTCTCTGTCATTTTAATCTCACCGGAAGCTTGGTGTTCTGCAATAGTTTCAGTCTCATCTCTCCTATTTATTGTCTGACTGATAGACGAGTCAATTTCTTTGGATGATGGCACTGCTGAAGTGGAAGTTACACTTAGGGATTGCTCCGATTCATTATCGATAGTGTACTGAGGCTTATCTTCCGACGTTAAGGAGCTGAAATTATTTTCTAATTCTAATGAAACATTTTCATCTATCGGCGACTTAAATGTTTCATTTGCGTCTGTCAAAGACACTTCTTTATCGTCATTAAAACTTAATAAAGACTCGTTATTTTGTTCCGATGGATGAACTTCATAGGCCGAATAATATTTTCTCTTTGAAGTTATCTTCTCGGCAGATGATTCACTACCAGATGTAAATATATCTATATTCGAGAGTAAACCTACATTGGCAGAAGGTTTAGAAGGGGATAAAGATTCATGAATAACGTTTTCATCTATTGAAACACTGGAATCGTCTACGCTAAAATGAGTTTCATCATTTTTGTTGATATGGTTAGTTTCTATTTCTTCATTAGTATCGTCAACTGTAATAACACTATCGTCAGATATACTTATTGGTTTTTCATTGACAATTTTAGCACACTCAGAATCTATCTTTTCAACGTTAACCGGTAAAACTATATCGTTATGGTGTGACTTATCTGCCAACTTAATAGCATAGTCTTTGGGTTTATCTGTTTTTTCATCTAAATCTATAACGTTATTTACATTTCGGTCAGGTGCGTTATTACTTTCATTTAACGAAGCATCTTCAATTTCAATATCTTTTTTGCTTACGTTATCGAAATCTTCTAAGTCATCTAACGCTATTACCGTGGCTTGTTTCTTATCCACTACCGTTAAAGGCACTTTCTTAGTAGGCGAAAATCTATTTACATCAGACTTATTATCATCATTATTTTCAAATAACTTCATCCTGGCTCTGACGCTGACACCACCAGAACTGGAAACATTATCTTTGGTAACAAAGTGATTGTTCGTCTGTTCACTAACACTATCACTAATTACATTAGAGTCTGGCTTGTAACTGGAAAAACCACTACTATCACTTACAATCGAGTTAGCGTTCTTTTCACTTAAATCAGTCTGTAGTAACGGGGGTTTACTTTCGGGAAGATCCGGTGGGACATCTTCGTTCGAGGAATCGCTAGAATCTTCAATTTGACTATTGAAAAAGGTCGAACGGGCTTTTGAAAACTCCGTACCTTCTGACTGAGTCAGAGTGAATTTCTTTTTTAATTCGCTATCGACGGGGAACTCTAAGGCTGACTCGAAATGCGTACTGTAAGCGTCCGGAGCTTCTGAAAAACTTAACAAACTGGCGGACTTTTCCTCGTCGCTCATCGAACGCGATAACACCGAGTGTTCCGAAGGCACTTTTTTCGATATGAGTTTCTCCTCATCGGGGCAAATTTCGCAGCAAAACTCCCCACTTTCCGTTTCGTAGTAGTTGGCTAGAGTGAGCTGGGACTGGCAACGGGCACATTTGAAACATGTCCTGTGATAGAGCAGTTTTCCGACGTTGAGACGTTCCGCTATGAAAACCGGAAGTCTGCATTTCGCGCACGGCTCTCTACGGGCCCTGCCAACGGTTACTTGTACCTAAAAGAGACAGAAAAATAAGAGATGCATCAATTACTGTTTACAAAATAAGTTAGTATTTTTGTTAATCAACAATTCCAAATTCTGTAGGTGTTGCCGATAAAAAATATTGTTTCAAAATAACCGATATATCGTCCTATTGCTGCCAAAAGGCACTAACTAACATTTTTCCGAACAACCAAATTCAATCACTAACTATGTTTTGAAGCGGAGAATCGATTGCAAAAGTCATTAACTACGATTTCTAGCTATTTATGTTTTATTTTAGTACCGAATAGTTACTAACTATAACATCTTTATGCAATGCAATTCATCTTTAGACGCATTTTTCTCGGAAGTAATAAAAAGTAAGTTAGTGACTTTTGGCAGCAATGGGACGATATGACTTTATCAAAAAGAATTAAGAATTTATTTGAGTTTGTATGGCAGTTTAACCAATCGCCATAAAAGAGAGACGAGGAAAAATTTTATTTAAATTTTAGTAATGAACACTGTGAATGAACAAGTGTATACCGGATGTTTCTCGAAAGTGACTATAATTTTTTCAGATAAAAAAACAAGATTTTGTATGTTCGTATATGACATAAAATGACCTAAATACAAAATATTTTCATGGTGTCTGACTGTCTGTCCGTCTGTCTGTAACACGATAACTCAAAAACCGCTAAACCGATTTCAACCAAATTTGGCACAAAAATACTGTGGCACCGGAGAATCTGGCCATTAGTTCTTGGTGGGGGTGGGGGGTTGGTAAGGGGGTATGTAGTAGCTAGCGAAACGCGGTTTTCAATTTAAGATTTAGAATAATATTTGCAACAAAATTAGTCAAAGTCGCAGTTTTTGAGATAAAAAAAATTGGAAAAATTCCTTTGCTTTGAAACTAAAAGAACTGCCTACAAACTTTTTATTAACATATTTTAGTATGGGCGGCTATACGTGCCTCCCGGCGCCAATTTTTTCAAATGAAACAGGAATGGCTCATTAACATATTATTCGGAAAGAGCATTTTTGACGAATAATTTACTACATACTTGGCATTTCGATTCAAAATGTCGTTATATTTCGTGTGGCACACTAGACTGAAATTTAAAAACTATTTTTTAAGCAAAAATTTTAAAAGCTGACATATGATATGTCATTTTATTGATCATGAATCAAGCAAATTAAAAAAAATATCTAGGGCACCCTTTGAAAGAAACAGAAAGTGACTAAAACTATCTGATTACGTCAGTCAATCCAGATTTTACCGTTTTAATAATCCAAATACCGTTTTATTTATCTGAAAAAAATAAAAAAGTTATAGAAGTGAGCCACTTTCGGGAAACACCCGGTATGTCATTTGTCACAGAATGCCTACTTATATTCAGAATATTTTTATTGAAAGTGGTGCAAAGATCACAGCACAGGAGGTATTGATTTATGTAATTTTTCAAAAGAAGCTTCAAATATATTGTCAGTCATATGATATATGAGAATTAAATTAAAATATTACAAAGAGAAAATATATAGAGATATAGAGAAAATATAATATATAATAAATTAATTCACCACAATACACGAAAACGCTTTAGTTTTAACACTAGCCGCGTGTTTTGCTAACAATGTTAGCATCATCAGTTGATTAAAACTCTAAAACTCAGTTTTAATCATTTGCTGATGATGAAACATGGTTAGCGAAACGCACGTCGAGGGTTGAAAATATAGTGTTTTGGTGTATTATGGTGAATAAGTGTTTTAATTTGTTGTAACACCAAAAAATTCACCTCAACTGGGTGTCCCAATATTGTTTCGTGGACATAAAACTACTATTTATTTGTGGAATCAAAATAAGTTAACTGAAAAGAACATTTTAATTCCAAAAATACGTAGTAGCTCTATATCCAAAGAATATTGGGATACCTTGTATATCCCATTACAAAACCTCAACAAAGAAATAATGCTGTTTTTCTCACTTTTCTCTACCTACATTTATTAAACCGTTGATTCAAACATATAAGTGGTTAAATCCCAAAAGGCACTTAATGTTAATTGTAATGTTAAAAAGAACAACCTAAATTTTATCCAAGGGAAAAATTTAACTTAACACTTACACTAATTTAAGAAATAACAAGAAAGTAAAAAGTCTAGAAATGCCGCATTAATAATGTTGGTAGAATGCATACATATGTTAAAAGTGTACCTGGTCCTTTACCCCAAAGCAAGTGCAGCAAGAAGCGTGAGACTAATGAAAATGGAGAGTATATGGGTGACAAGACAAGTAATGTAAGTGGAAATCATGTTGTATTTTTACCTTTAACAAAATATTTCGGGTTTGTACTGTCCCATTATGTCCAAGCTTTCCTCCTATGAAAATAAACAGTGTGGGTTAACAAAAAAAAAAGCATCGAAGCTCGACAAATGATAAAAGCTAAGCTCGACTGCTCATAATTGTGCAATGTCTTTTTCCAAATATATCAAAGTACTTAGTTGCTAATTAATTCTCTTCGAGAAATAGAACAATACTAAAAAAAGATGTGACCTAATGTTATCGAACTCTGATATGTACCATATAATTTGGATAAAAATGAAACATTTTTTCTGTCTAACGGCCAGAAGTTATATAATAGATATAATAGTAATTTATTACAAAAATAATAATATTTTTAAACCCCTATACGCCTATACTATATTAAATAAGCTCATCTATACTATTTCTAAATTGCTGCTACCAAAAACTCTTGTGCTTTTTCCGTATTGTTCATTTGGTGTTTATTGCTTATGGTGTTAAACTTTTTGACTGTGGCTTAAGCTTATCTTGAGTTATGTACCTCATCTCATTTGACGAATTGAGTGTTAAATTCAAGGTACATTAGTCTGCTACTGGAAATGATGTTTACTTAAATGTACCAAAAAGTACAAAATAGAAGATCATCATCAATTTCTCTGAAACTCTTCATTCACATATATGTTTTTAACTAAACTGTGTGGCAACTTACATTTTCTTGGTGGAGGATCATTCGTCTTTGAGTGTTGGTTTTTCGAAACTCAGCAATTACTTCTAGCAAACAAATAGATATATATCCATCAGCAATAACAATTCTTTGATCTTGTCGAGGAATTGTTGCTACATGACCCGCTTTTGAGACAAATGTCGCTACCATCTTTTTGGAAACACTTCGAGATGATTTCGGATAACTTTCATTAGTTTTGGTTCATCTCGGAGCACCCAAACAACCGATTGACTTTTATTTTCGGGTTCATAAGAACAAATCCAGGATTGATCACCACTGAATACTGTATATTTTTTTGAGTTTTCTGTGTTAAACCGGTGTACGTTTTTTCGACACCAATTCACTCCAATTGCTTTCTGTTCTTCCGTCAACAGATGCGGTATCCAACTAATTTTTTATAGATAATTCTTTATGGAAAATTTCTTTAATTGATGTCTTTGAAATGCTCAATGATACGTCAATTTCGCGGTATGTGGCATGCCGATCTTCTTGGATTAGCTTACGTACAGCATCGACGTTTTCCTGGGTGACAGCCGTTGTTGGTGGACATGTTCCTGGATCGTCACTTAAACCAATCCGCTCACGTTTAAGTTCTCCATACCAACGAGAAATTTTCGACTGATGTGGTGCTACATTCCGAAAACAGAAACCAACTCGGCAAGACATTATTGTTGAGACAACTATCTTCAAAAATTGTAAAAAAATGATTGCACACACAATTCAATTTCTAAAATTCAGTTTAGGTACAGCTTTAAACAAAGTGGTCTAAAATTTTGGCGTTAACTAATGACAGTTAATTTTGACATTTTATATATGTTGACAGGCGCCTCCTATGTTTCAATATGCAACATTTAAAAGACAACCCTCGTAAGATTAATCAATAATCTGATAAAATTAACAAAAAAAGAATCAGTGTTCCTTAAAAAATAAATTAAACTATGAATTTAAGTATTCTTCGATATAATATCAAATACATATTTTACTTACTGTCAAATTATATATATAACTATTACTGATAATTCATTCGCATTATGCATAACAAAAATACACTAACTACTCGTACCTATCGATAACAATATTATAATATACTAAGAGACTAAGTAAGTTAGTTCGTAGCGCGTGTACATGCTACAAATTATTCTTATAATTATACCAAGGAGAAAATCGACAACTATCGTCTGCATCACGTTATGTTTTCTCCTAATAAATTATTTATAGACTATTATTCTCTGGACGAGTAGCCCTAAATAATAAGTTTAAAGCGTTTTCGGTCATCAGCCTCCTTAGAGGAAGATGGCGCGGTGTGTCAGTTCTCTTCATCGATATTCATTATTTATGTTGTTTAAGGGATCGCCTACGGTTGCGGTTAAACTCTCTAAATATGTTAACAGCTGCCATACACAGTGGTATCATTGAGACAACCGCTTTAAGTCATGACAAGCAAAAGGCTAATTTGCCATCTGGTCATCTATAGAGGCTATAGAGCCACTACTCAGATGAAGAAGTTTGTCTTCAGTAAAAGTTTTAAACAAATAGTGTAGATGTATTTAAACGATTTAAAGAAAAAACACTCTTTCTATATTATAGTACCTAATCATTTCATTGATAATAAAAATAGAGATTATTCTATATGCTCCAAAGAGCTAAACTTAATGGGAGCTAAACTCAGTATTGGAATTTTATCAGAAAGTTCCTACAAAACATTTTCTATTTCAAATGTCTTAGAAACAACGTATTGTGTCAAACGAGTATGGACATGAAATAATTGATTCTTATATTTTAGTCTGGTTTTTTACTTTGATTCTTGGTGTTTGGTTTTTCGAGGTGTGTCATCATCATCATTTACAGTTATGGTGTAGCCTCCCTCATGTAAGCGAGGCTACAGAGAGTATCTAAGTATGTACTTAGATACTCTCTTTGTAGTTGGGCCCATTGCTGTCTATTGATGGCTATGCGGGCCCAAGTTATCTCTGCTAATTTCCTAATATCATGGTCCCATGTCAGGTTCGT